GTAATGACACTGAAGAGGTTAGTAAACTAAAAGGATTTCTCAACTCTGAATTTGAAATCAAGGATTTGGGAGATCTTCGGTATTTCTTGGGCATTAAAGTTACTCGATCTAAGGATGGTATCTTCATCTCTCAGCATAAATATGTCCTTGATCTTTTTGCTGAAACTGGTAAACTTGGAGCTAAACCCATCTCCACTCCTATTAATCCTAATCATAAGCTTTCAGCTACAAATGATGAGCTTTTGTCTGATAAGGGAGTGTTTCAGAGACTGCTTGGGAAGTTGTTATAACTTTGCATGACTTGGTCAGATATTTCCTATGCAGTAAGTGTTATTAGTCAATTTATGCATTCTCCTAGAGATACTCATTTAGATACTGTAGAAAGGGTTCTGTGCTACTTGAAAGGTATCCCAGGGAAAGGTATTCTATTTGCTAAACATGGTCACATAAAGTTGGAAGCTTTTACTGATGTCGATTGGGTAGGATGTATTGATGATAGAAGATCCACCTCTGGTTATTATGCTTTGGTTGCTGGGAATATTGTGTCGTGGAGGAGTAAGAAACAATCTGTAGTTGCTAGATCCTCAGCTGAAGCAGAATACAGGGCGATGGCACATGGTGTGTCAGAATTACTGTGTCTACGTTCCCTTCTAGAAGAATTGGGGGTGGRCTACGAGAAACCAATGATGCTCTATTGTGACAACCAAGCTGCTATCAACATTGCACATAATCCTGTTCAACATGACAGAACTAAGCACATTGAGGTTGATAGGCATTTTATAAGGGAAAGAGTCTCTTCAGGAGAAGTTTGTTTACCATTCATCACATCAGAAGAGCAACTGGCTGATATCTTGACCAAGGGAGTTCCAAGAGGGAAATGACACACTTTATAAGCAAGCTGGGCATGATTGACATCTATGCTCAGCTTGAGGGGGAGTGTAAAGAGACTGGGCCGAATGGGCCCTAACATCCTCTCTTGTAATATCTTTTATTTTATTGTTGATGGGCCACACTTAATGGGCCTGCTATTTATTCTTGTTTTATTCTCTTTATGTAACTGCCAAGCTGGCCGCCCACTTAAGGGCATTCTTGTCATCATCTATTTTTTAGATCTTAATAAAATAGGGTTAGAGGAGAATGGAGATTAATTTTGACTCCTTCTCTTACCTCTACTTTTTGCCATCTTCTTCTCTTGTATAGATGTTCAGACCTTTTTTTTACTTCTTCTAATCCCTAAATTTGTTCTTAATATTTGAGGATTGATTTACATCTATAATCTAGAGTTGCATATTTTTCCTTTTAATATCTTATTCTAGAAAATAAAAGTTACAAGAATTAAATGAAATTTAAAAGGTTAAAGAATACAAGATAGGAGAAACATTTGATGGATCAATCTATCATTGTAATTAAACATGTGTTACTGTCACTGGTTACCAACTCATCTATGTTAACCCCTTGCTAGGTTAGACATGTCTCAAATAGGACCCCAAAGTCATAGATATGAAAGATTTTATTCACTTAAAGTGTAAGCTTTTTTTTTCTAAATGGTTAGCTAAACTAATTTCTTAATTTTAGCTACCCAAGTTCTTTGTATTTGCTTATTTATTTATTTATTTATTGTTTACATGTCTTGATTAGGTCATTTTAAAGTATGAGGTTTAAGTGCCATATCCATATCCATCTTGCCTATTTCTTAAGAATATAGTTCAATCTTTCTGTTTGGCTTGTTAGTGGCCTTTATTGGTCCGATATTCCAATGCAGCTTTGGCCCCCACACATGGTTAGTGAGGTTAGTGACAGGGTGCACATGGGTACCTCTAGCACAACGTGGAGAGTCTGCTTATCCATAGTCTGAAACTGTCTTTTCATTACGAGGGATGCCTTACGACCAACTCAACTATGACTTGATTGGCTAGTGGCCCTTCCTTGTGCAATGGTAAAAATGTTTGGGCTAACAAGTGTTAGAATGTATTTGAGTCAAAGTATGGCCACTTTGTGCAAAAAGCCAAATGCTATGTCCATTTCCAATCTATCCCTCCGAAGGCCCTAGATAGCCCAAATCATTATTGTCATGCCCACTTCTGTTTGCCTTGTTACATTAGAGAACACACATTTAGCATGCAAAAATTCATAGCTAGTGAAGCATTACTATCCATTACCTTGAATGTTCTGTTGGTTATCCAACAAAAGTGGACAAGAATTAGAAAATCATAATGATTGAAAAGTTCTAGTTACTGCACAAATTAAAACAATTCATAGGATTATGACGACTCGACTTTTATACAATTGATTGCTTACATAATTTTATTTTAGGAAAGATAAAATCATAATAAAGCCCCAAATTTTTCTTGTTAATACTAAAAACCATTGTTTTTCTTTCTTTCTTTTTTTTTTTTTGTACAGGGCTTTTGGTTCAAACAATTTTTCTGGGACACTCCCTCCACAAATTGGTAATTTAGTCAAATTGGAAGAGATGTAAGTTGTAAATGCTTGTATAGCATTATATTTTGTAACAGTAAAAAGTTTGCAAGTGTAGAATCAACAAGATGGCATTATGAATATAATTTAATGCTAAAGACAAAATTAAGGTCCTTATGGCTTTGGATTTGTTATTGGATGGTTTGATAATGGTGTGGAACAAGTAAATCTTTAAGCCCATTAAGAGACAGAATTGGGAGTCATATATTTCCTTGTTATAATTAAGGTTCATTGCAACGTATCAGTGTGTATTGTACAATACATATTGACTTTTAAGGTCACCAATATGTGTGCTGTTAAGTGTTTGTGTTTTAAATGTTTAAACATTATTACATGCCATACAGCTTGCAATGTCAAACGGTAAAAACAAAAGCTAAAACTAAGAGTTTGATGGCTTAATATTTCAATATGCAAAAAATGCATATTGAGAGTATTTAACTTAACCATGGTTGTAATTTCAAAGTGCAATACATTATGCAAGTAAAAGAAATAGGAAGTAAATTAGAAACCAATGTAAGAAATAATAGTAATTTAAATTTGATCATCTTCATTTTTAATTAAAAAAATGTGTTTTTCTAAGTGTAATACCAAAAAAGTGTTTGATCATATTCATTTGAATTTGACAGTTACATGGATAGTTCTGGAGTGAGTGGGGAAATTCCTTGGACATTTCGTAACCTAGTAAACATGAAAACTATGTAAGACATTGTGATTATGACTTTCTTTATTTAGTGTTTTATGTTTTGTTCTTTCATGTTTTAAAATTTATTTATCTCACTTGTCCATAAAAATTCTGTGTTAGGTGGGCATCAGATAATAACTTTATAGGCAAGTTACCTGAATTTATTGGGAATTGGAAAAGGCTTAAAGAATTGTAAGATAACATTTTGTATATTCTGCATTCATGTACTCTCTCTAGATGAGAAGACATTGATTGAATTTATGTGTCACTTATAACTAGGGGTGGCCCCAGATCGAGCTCTTCACGAGCTATTCAAGCTTGGCTTGTGAAAAGCTCGGCTCGGCTTGGTTTCAACTGAGCTCGAATAGCTACATATAATAATAATAATAATAATAATAATAATAATAATAATAAATTATAGAAAATAATATATATAATAAAATATTATATATATATTTTTATTTTTATAAAACATTTTTCTCAAGTTGAGGTTGAGTCGAGACGAGCTCGAGCCTATGAGCTTTTGACTCGAGCTGAGCTTGAGTTCAAGGTTCTAGCTTGAATTGAGCTCGAATAAGCTCAAATCCACCCCTACTTATAACATGATTTTACGTTTCATTTTTCTTTAGTTTTATATCCAATAAGCTTTTCTTAATAAAATTGAATATGTTAATGTAGGAGATTCCAAGGGAATTCTTTTGAAGGTCCAATACCATCAAGTTATTCAAAGTTGACTTCATTAATAGATTTGTAAGTTCTCTCTCTCTCTCTGATGAGCAACAGAATTCTTCATTATATTAAAAGGGAGATTACAAAGGACTGGGGAAATCCCCAACCACACACCAGTTTTACAGCTTTATTCCAATTACAATACCACCCAGGAAAGTTGGTCCCTATAAATCCCTTGCTTTTCCAAGCACTCCAATCTATTTTCCGCCCTTATAACTCATCCAAAATTATCTCCCACTTCTTTTGCAATTTTAGAACTTTCCCTTAGTGTCTACCTACCTATAATTCCAAACTCCCACTTATCCAAGAGATGACAAGTTTTGAGTCCCCCTCCACTTCTAGCTGCTATAAACCCAGCTGCTTAGCTAGTCTCAGCCCTTGTTGCAGTGCCAACATTTCAGCTTTCACAGAGCCTCTTACTCTGATAGGGCCTGAATAATATGCCCTTATCACACCATTTTCATCTCTAAACACTCCCCCAACTTCTGCTGGACCCAGATTGCCCAATGAGCTACCATCAAAATTTAGTTTAAGCCTGTGAACTGCAAACTGCCGGTGGTTGGCATTCCTTTATAACCTTTTTCCTTTGCTTTAGAAGAGTTTGCAGCTTCACCCCATGCTCTTAAAATATCATCACCCACCGAGAAGTCTTTAAATGCCTCCGTAGTTTTCACGCAATGTGCACCTTTTATCTTTATGTTCACCAATTCTTTTAAGGAGCAACTTTTTTCTTTAAAGAATTTTCCATTTCTCTCCTCCCAAACCACCCATAGAATTGCTACCCTTACTGCCCCCTGCATTATCCTATCTATTTTCTTAGGCTGCCTCTGTTGATTATAATGATTTGACTGGTCATTATACTGATTACCTATAGTATGGTGAAATAAAACTCATGTAGCCGACCCCATATGGTTGGGACAAGGCTTAAATGATGATGATGATTATACTAATTAACTGGTGTATAATATCTTGTAGGCGAATTAGTGAATTATCTAATGCTAGTTCAACACTAAATTTCATCAAGGATATGAAGGCCTTAACTGTATTGTAAGATGCTTTTCTAATTCATGCAATGATACATGTATTTTAAATATTTTTCATGTTCACATCTACCAGATTAGGTAACACCTTTGTTTTTGTTTTGTTTATGTAGGATTTTGAGAAATAATATGATTTCGGGTACTATTCCATCCAATATAGGAGAGTATCAAAATTTGCAAAGATTGTAAGTTGTTACTTTCTAGTAGTTTGTACCAATATCTGTTTTATAATGATTCATTATACTCATTTTTCTTGAATGATAACTGAAGGTTGAAGAAGTTGAATAATTATAAATTAATAAAATCTTTCTATTTTATTTTTTTTCAAGAAAATAGAGTAAATTGATATATCTTGTTCTAACTATCATTTATTGGTCATATCTTTCTTATAGGGATTTAAGCTTCAACAATTTAAGTGGCCATATTCCAAGCTCTTTATTCAATTTGAGTTCTCTCTATTACTTGTAAGTAGCATGGGAACTTTTCTCCATCCTTTGATGAAGATCATAATATTTATTTATTTTTTGATCAATAACAGACAATTTTCATTAAGATCATAATATTTATCATTCACAATTTTTGTTATTTATGGTTAGGTTTCTTGGAAACAACAGTCTTTCTGGTTCCCTTCCTCCTCAAAAAAGTGAAAAACTTCTCAATATGTATGTCCTAATGATTTTTTTATCAGATTCAAAATATTAAATTTTGACTACCATACTTATTGAGGAGTACACATAACCAAACTATTAGGGTTATCTCCTCAAATAGAAATGATTGAATGGTGAGTCAAAGTTTCATACATGTATTATAACCTGTTATATAAAGGCTATCTCATAAATGGCTATTTTTGGTCATTTTGTATCTTATTTTTGTAAATTAGGTGCTAACTATTGCTAATATGTTTTGTATACAGAGACTTATCATATAATGAATTATCAGGAAGCTTTCCTTCATGGGTGTCACAAGATTTACAACTGTATGTATGACAAAGTTAAAAAAAAAAAAAACTCTTTTTCCACTCATTTCTTAGTTCTACCAAATATTTGATTGTCTTCTGCATATGGAAACAATAAAAATGTAAATTTTATAGTAAAGAAACATGTTTCAGCACTATGAAACATCTGTTCCTCCCCATACCTCGCATTGGTGGGAGCCTTGTGCACTGGGCTGCCCTTTTTTCTATATGTATTCATGCTATTAAATGCAAGCTACCCATGTGGTGAAATTTGCAGGAACCTGGTTGCGAACAATTTTATATTTGATAATTCAAATTCTAGGTGAGTTAATATATTTTTAAACCATCTAACACTTTCAAACAGTACTATGTTACAAGGAAAATAAATTACATTGTCCTGCTCCTGTTCTATCCATTTTTCTTTAAAATTTTCTAGTATAATTGAAATGTTCAAAGTATCTTGTTGATGCTCACACTATTATTATTGTGTATATAGCCTTCTTTCTCCAGGTCTAGATTGTCTTCAGAGAAATTTTCCATGCAATAGAGGTTTTCCACATTGTAAGTCATGTGATTTTTCTATTTTTCTTTCTTATGATGCTCAGCATTTCTTGTTTATGCTGTAGCCATTTCATGTTTCATTCCACAAGTATGGCAATGTCCTTAACCCATGTTAGGTGATGGAAATAATCTATGAAAAGGAAGGATTTTCTCAAGTCTTAAGTTCTAATACTAGAAATATTAACATTTATTAGAGAAATTAGGTAAGTAACAATCTACACTTTTGTAGAGCTGTTATTCATTGAAAGCTGTTTAGCCTTGAGATGTAGAGATGGGGGTTATAATGTATTCTTTTAATTTTTTCTTTATTGTTTTACAGTCCTTTCATACATTTATTTCTCTTTTGCCCCTTCAAAAGTTATTCTGTAATTGTAAATATTTTGCCGTATATAATGTAATTTGACCTTGGGGGTGTGGTTGACTGATGGACTCTCTTCGACACATACTTTGTTCCAAGGATCAAAATTTTGATATGATAAGCGCGATACGGGGCGTATTGTATCATATCTTTGGGGTCCCGATACACCTGTTTACAGGTGTTTCGGGAATCCTATTTTTTAATAAAAATATTATTAAAAACCTCCCCAAAAACCAATTTTTGAAAAAAAAAAGTGCATGCTTTTTAGTACTGCTATGCCTCTGCAGATACAGAGGGGCGTATCGATACTTTGAACAGCACTCTATTATTCTTCCCTCTCTTCTTTTTACTGTCAACTGTTTGCAGACCTTGGACTGTCTAGATCATAAAGGTTTTTAAGGTGTCAGTCTATCAGAGCATTAGTTAGATCTTGGGATTCTCGCCCATATGATCAAGTGGAAATTCATTTTGAACTCAGTCCTCTAGGAATTGAGCCAGTCCTTTCAGCCAAGAGTCTGTAAGAGATTGTTCTTTGTTGATAGGGAATATTCAGAACAGAATAATAGCCATTTTCTTGGATTTTTCTTTTTGGATATTTGACTTAAGAGATGTTCTGTCCAGCATATCTGAACCTGCTTTCTAGATTTTAGAGGCCTGTCATTGATATTTTATGTTGATCTTCATCCTATGTGGTTATATGAGGATAAAATTGGTAGTTTTTTGCATCAATCTAACTTTCTTCTAGATTCAACTGATCTGATTTGACTTTTGGCATCAATCCTTTAGATCCAAAGCTTCAACAAGGGTAAATATTTGGAATGTTGTAAGTGGTATTTTTGCTTAAAATCATTCCTTTGTGGCTAACTACTATCCATCAGATTTTGATGTGGATAGACAAACAAATTACAAGCAACACTTCAAGTATACAGCAATAAGAACAAGAATGCCAAGCTGAAAACAAAAAAAACTAGTTGGATTTTTAGGGATTTCATACCTGAACCTGAAGTAAAACTCCTCCTAGAATAGTCCGCTACAATAATAATGGTAGCAAGCTGGCCTCTCATGTGGACACGCAGTGATGGAGGGATTGGAAGGTGCCAAAATGGGTCAACTCCTCAAAACCCAAGCTCCCAATACTTGAAAACCCTAGTTGGGCTGAGCTACAGCTCAAACAAGAGAGAAATGACCAAAAAGACCCCTCCAGAAATAGCCCCCCTTCTCTTTTATAAGACCCAATGGCTTGCTGGAGAAGCCAATTAAAATATTTACACATAAACCCCTAGAATGTTTCCCTCTCACAAGCAACTCCTTAAGAATAAAGCTTACTTCAAATGAACCCCCAAAAGATAACTTTTGTTACAAAAAGGCCCAAGAGACCAAAACCCAGCAGATATGCACCCAAATGCCCCTGACCAGAATCTCACTTATAAAATGACGAAATACCCCTGGTCCCAAACTGTCAACAAAGCTATCCAAAAACAACAATTTGGGATCCTACTACAAAAGAACATGAAAAACACAATACATTACTTTTTTTTCAGTTCTTTTTTTTTTCCTTGTCAGATTTGATGATTCAAATTTTGGGATTTGAAAGTTCCACTTTCTGTATTTCGTGAAAGGGGAGGGTGTATGGAGCTATGTTGATGTGTATTAAACGAAACTAGAAGAGATTGATCATAAAAATTTACAGCAATGAATAATTAACAATGCAAATATGATCTGATGGATTTTGGAGCCAATTGATCCTAGTATTGGCATTTCACTAAGGGGCTTCTAGACAGACTAGGATATGTGGATCAATCTTGGAAGGGTATATTAGCAAGCAAATTCAAGAAGGAAGTTTCAATTGGAAATGGACATTTTCTCCTACAATTAAAGGATGAAGCACATTCAAGAATATTATGTTGGATTCCAGAGCTTGGACAGAATATGAGATGGCTAACTTTTTTCAAGCACAGATTGGTTGTTGCATTTAGGATGTAAAGAAGCTTCATGAAGAACATAAGGTTATGCATGCAGTTTCCGATGAAATTACAACCAAAATTTAAGGTTCTATAGGCGAATATCCAAAGTAGGGTAACTTTTCCTGATTTGGACATGATTCCTGGAGAATTACTCAGAGAGAAGGCAAGAATCATTACATAGGCTATGTTGGAGAGAAAAATTGGTGGTGAGAATGCGTTTCTTGGCAAATAAATCCAGGGATAAGAATGCTTCTAATGAATGGAATCTAGTCTGAAAGTGTTCTAAGTTGAGAGGGTTGGCCACTTAGAGGTCAGAAAACAGAATCTAGGCTGTTTCAGGGGTGAGTTCTTGTGTGAAACTTGGCAGGATGGTAGTGGTTGGGTTAGGTGTGCAGCAACAGATTCTGATTAGGTTAGTGTTGATGGGAGGTTTGAAGGTTCATAGGTTTCTATTAATTAGGAGGGTCAAAATGGAATCTTTAATGGATTGGTGGTGGAACCTCGAAGTTTAGGTCACAATGTGGTGAGATTGGGTATTTTAAGGATTTAATTTAGGTGAATAGGTTTGATTAGGTAGATTGTGCATGGAGGAGGGTTGATTGGGATCATTGGATCAGAATTTCAATGGATCTAGAGAATTTGGGGCTAGGATTTGGTAGCCTAAGGTTTTCAGGTATTCTAAGGCGATCAGAATGGTTTAACTGAGTGTGTGTGGTGCAAAAGGTGGGGGGTTTTGGTGTCTTTATGGGCCAAATCTTAATTTTTGGGAAGTTTAGTGTATTTTGCAATTTGTTAGCTTTTTTTGGCAAGGTGAGGAAAAAGGACTAGGAAAAAATCGAGTGCTGACAATAACCTAGAGAAATGAGAGTAGTCACAATCATCATCATCATCATCATCATCTAAGCCTGCTTCCAACTATATGGGATCAACCATGTGAATCTTGTTTTGCCATTCCATTTTGTTCAATCCAATATATCTATGTGAATCTTCTATGCATGTGACCAAACCACCTCAGTTTATTTTCTCTCATTTTATCACCTATTGGAGCTACTCTGTTCCTCTATATGACTTTATTTTTGACCTGATCCTTTTCTAGTTTTACCAATCATCCATCTAAATATATGCATTTTTGTCACACATTTTTTGGAGAAGTTTTTTAGTTGCCCAAAATTTTGCTTTATACAACATAGTTGGCATTAAAACTGTTTTTTAGAAATTTCCCTTTATCTGAGGTGGTATTTCCCTATTACATAAGATTTTGGATGGACCCTTCCATTTTGCCTATCTTACTCTAGTTTCATGAGCAACATCCTCAATCTCTCTTTTGTTATGAATTATTGAACCAAGATAATGGAAGAGGTAACATTAGTTATCTGTTGGTCTCTAATCCTAAATTTATCTTGGTTTACACTCCTATTATTGTTAAATTTACATTGCATATATTCTGTTTTAATCCTTATTTTAAAACCTCTTGTTTCTGATGTACTTGTCCATAAACCTAATTTTGAATTTAATCTTTTGTTAGTTTCACCAATTAATACTATGTCATCAGCAAGCATAAGCCATCACAGGACCTCATCTTGAATTGACTAAACATAATTCATCTATGATTAGTGAAAATAAATTAGGTCCCAGTGTTGACCCTTGTTGAAGATCCACTATAACTGAAAAATCTGATGTCTCTCCCACAGTGTTCTAACATTGGTTTTTGCACCCTCTTATATATCCTTAATTAGCTCCAAGTACCTATTAGGGAGTCCTTTCTTTTCCATAACCCACCATATTACCTCTCTAGGGACATTTTTTTTGAAAATAAATAAAAAAATGCAGATGGAGTAGTAGATGGGTTTATCCCATATCTAGACAATTCATATTTATGCTTATGCACTATATTGAAACTAATTTGAACCATTCGACCATGATGATTTATTTTCACAGGTGCAAACTTTTCAGTCAAGTGTGGTGGTCAAGCTATGGCATCCCCTACTGGCCGAATTTTTGAGAGTGAAAATGAAACTCTTGCACCAGCATCATATTATGTAACAGATACCAAAAAATGGGGAGTTAGCAATGTTGGATTGTTTAATGATAGAAAGGCACCTAGTTATTTCCAGAACACATTATCACAAATTGCAGGCACAGGTATTTTAACCACTGAGTTCTTCCAAACATCAAGGCTATCTCCAGGATCACTAAGATACTGTGGTCTAGGTTTGGAGAATGGAATCTACACAGTAAGCCTTTGGTTTGCAGAGACAAAAATCAGTGATGCAAGCTCAGAATCTTGGAGAAGTCTTGGAAGGCGTGTTTTTGACATTTATATACAGGTATACTTATATTATACTAGGTCTATCATTGAATCCAGGAAGCTGCATTGCTATTTCAACCCGTTTCTAATTAGTTGAACCCATCCATTGATGAGAACATAGATTAACCTTAAATTGTATATATAGATAACACAACTCATATTTGAGTCTTTTAATGAATGTCAATTTTCCTTTCTCTCATTGGAGTATACTCAATAGAGCTTATCAAGGGTTTTTTCTCCACAACCTAAAAGATTACTAACAGAAACAGTCAGAAGAGAATCTTTGAATAAAATTTCTTGTCATGGGTCTTGAACTCATATTTCAATTATTGAACCTCTCAAGTTTATCATGCTTAAAAAATGCCAGAAGCAAACCAAAAAACCCTTAATTTTCATGCATATTTGTTAATCATTATGTGTTTTTGGTTTGTATATATATACCTGATGCTACAAAAGATTTTCTTGGTTGTTGAAGCTATGTTTTCAATGTTTTAGAGGGATCTACAATTAAAAGACTTTGATATAAGAAAGGAGGCAGGTGGGGCCTCTAATAAAGCTGTTCAGAAAGAATTTAAGGCCAATGTATCTGAGAACTTTATTGAAATTCATCTTTTCTGGGCTGGAAAAGGTACTTGCTGCATACCTGAACAAGGTTACTATGGGCCATCTATCTCTGCCCTGGCTGTAACTTCAGGTAATATATTAGGAATTGATGGATGAATCTATTTTAATGAATGAATGTAAAGAATCAGGTAATCTTTTATTTTTTTAAATTACTGATTATGGATTTCTTGGTCAGACTTCACACCAACTGTTAGTGGCCTTCCACCAACAACCACAACAAGTGAGGGAAAGACAGAGTTGATTGTTGGACTAGTAGTTGGTGTTACAGTTGCAAGCCTACTGGCAGTTATAGTTTTTTACTTAAAAAGGAAAAGATCAAGTGCCAGTGAGGTTGAAGAAGGTAGGATAATGGTAATAGTGGTTCTTGTTTTCTTTTTTCCCTTTTTAATTTTTTGGGGCACACTCCTTGAAAGATACCTAAGTACTAAGATTAAAAAGATTTCTTTGGATATTATATTGTCTAACTGAAATGGATTTAAGTGTAACTGCCGAAAGAAAAGCCAGTCCAAATTTTCTCAATTTTGATGCTCCATATATTAAAACCTAGAGCATGCCATTGATCCTACATTTAGGAGGATATGCCTATTTTTTTAAATTTCTTTTATTATTACTAAATAAGTGGATTACAACTCACCTTTTGGTGTTCATTTGCAGAGTTTATTGCATTAGTTTCCAAGCCAAACACATTCAGTTACACTGAACTGAAAAATGCTACACATGACTTCGATCCTAAAAATAAGCTAGGTGAGGGGGGCTTTGGACCAGTTTACAAGGTAAATTGCATTTCATCTGCCAATTTACAAAGCCTTACTAAAATGATGTAAATTCTGCTTTAGAACTCAGGGTTAGAAAGATATCATAATCACTAGGAAAAACAAATAGGCTTGTTAGGGATCATGACCCTCCTTGGAAGTTTTTGGTTCATTTCTATGGCACAAAACATGGAATTATTGTCTGGCATTATAATATAATGGATTTTCAATAGGTGACATGAAAAGGACTCCATATCAGACCTTATCTTCCAGTTTATCCTTGAATATCTTTCTCTTGCATCCATTCATATGCATGAACATTTGTGTGTGTGTATATGATACATAACTATGCAAGGGGAGAATTCCTTGTATTATTTGTTGCTTATATTTTCTCCAAATAATTCCCTATAATTCTTGGTTTCATGGTTTTTAAATATTTTGTAAACCAAAGAAATCTTCTCGTTTATATGTATATATGCTGATAAGGAGTTAAGTTGAATTTTATGGTTTCTACAGGGTGTACTTTTAGATGGGAGGTTAGTGGCTGTGAAGCAACTCTCTGTGGCATCCCATCAAGGAAGAAGTCAATTTGTAACAGAGGTTGCTACATTATCTGCAGTTCAACAACGTAACCTTGTCAAATTATACGGATGCTGCATAGAAGGAAATAATTGTCTCCTGGTCTACGAGTATCTTGAAAACAAAAGCCTTGATCAAGCACTCTTTAGTATGAATATTTTCAAGAAATTTGTTCTTTCACCTCACAACTACATAACTTTATTCATATATATGGAATACATTAGATGCCTTACAGATGATATATATATCCAAATGATGTCACTGATTTTCAGGAAATACTTTGAATCTTGATTGGCACACCCGCTATAATATATGCTTGGGAGCAGCAAGAGGGCTAGCGTATCTTCATGAAGAGTCAAGACCTAGGATTGTACATAGAGATCTCAAGGCTAGTAATATTCTACTTGATGCTGACTTAAATCCCAAAATTTCGGATTTTGGTTTGGCCAAGCTGTATGATGACAAGAAGACCCACATTAGTACCCGAGTTGCGGGGACAATGTAATCACCCAAAATCATTACTTATATTACTTTCTATCTTCATTTACTTTTTCTTTATATTTATGATCCTTGGTCTATACAACAAAGTAACATCAGTTTTTGTTGACGCCTGTGAAGTGGCTATCTGGCACCAGAGTATGCTTTGCGCGGGCATCTAACTGAGAAGGCTGATGTGTTTGGATATGGAATTGTTGTTCTAGAGATCGTTAGTGGGCGGCCAAATTTTTACTCGGACCCAGAGAAGATATATCTTCTTGAATTGGTAAAAAAAAATGAAATTTATTGTTTTCACCTGCACTATTTATATAGACATAATCCCTTACGTGTTTTTCATTTTTGTTTGATCATTTAGGCGTGGAATCTACATGAAAATAACTGTGAGCTTGAACTCATTGATCCAAAATTGAGTGAATTTGATGAAAAGGAAGCCTGTCGACTTATAAGATTAGCTCTATTATGCACTCAGGTATCACCAGCGCTGCGCCCTTCCATGTCACGTGTTGTGGCTATGCTTTTAGGAGATGTTGAAGTGAGCACCATTGCATCCAGACCTGATTATTTAACAAATTGGGAACTCAACGATATCAGCAGTAGATTTATGGGTGAGAATTCTTTGAGAAATCTAGGTGTAAAAATTGACTACTAGTCTAATAGCCAACTGAAGACCATCAGATCCAAGCATGGTGGATGACCCAAGCCCTTCCTGACAAGATGCTTCTCGAGTCTCATCCAATGCTCCACAATAAATGTCATTTTTTGCTTGCAGTTTCCTACTAGAGGAATATACTTCTGCTGTCCATCATGATAAAGAAAAATGAAAACATCAACCCAATTATGTACTCATAGGAAGCAAAATGTACTCAACCCAATTATGTACAGGAAGCAAAATGTATACTATGTTGGAAAACACTAGCTGGATTGATTGCCTTATAAATTTATGTTGTGAATGCAATCAAGAATAGATCCTTTTGTCTGTGTTCTGCAAGAAAGAACTATAACCGTTAGTCTCTGTTATAGCTTGTGTTCTGCAAACACTGAAAATAAGGGAGTGCCCTCCAACATTTTTTTTTCTTTTTTGTGAATTCCAGAACTGGAAGGAAGAAGGCGTTGTTGATTTTTTTTTGTTTTAAAAAACATAAGTTTTCTTGTGGCTTCGTATTATCTTGTGTAACAACATAACATATTCAGATAGAGATTTTTCCGGAATGGATATTAGCTCATATTTCTTATTTTAATTTTTAGGGGCTTTTCCATAAAAATTATCAAAGTTTGTTGAATTGGCAAAAGCAGATACGTTTCAAAATAAATTGCAAAAAAAGACAGCGGGAGGAAAAAAGTCTTTTACTTGAACTAAATTGCCCTTGATTTAAAAGACCACCTCTCTCTCTCTCACTACTAGAATATTGACATTTAGAGGCTCATGACCGAAGGCGGTCCCAAAAAAACGCCTCTGTAATGTATTAATAAAGAAGGCAATTTCATTTTTTTTTTTTTGTTACGGAGGCGCTTTTTTATGCCTTTGTTATTACATTCATCCCCACTGTATTTGGCGGATAAAGATAAAGAGGCGCTATTTTCAGTTCGGCGCCCAGAAAACATATCAGGCTCGAAACTCCTTTTATTAGTGACTCTTCTTTTCCTCCTTCGAAGTAAACATCCTACCCTCTTGTCTTTTCTTCCTCCTCCCTTCCTCTAGCTTCTCTCCTTTCTTTTCCATTTCTCCCCTGTTCCATTGGGAGTATTCTTTGAAAGTTTTAAACCTCTGTCCAGTTAACAAAAATCTTCTCATTTAACTTTAAATACAGAAAGACAAGAGTAGAATAGAGGAGAGAGAGAGAGAGAAATTCAAACCAAGAGTTGGAAGCCTATGAGGTTTTCTTGTTCTCACTTTCTCTCTCTTGTGAAGATACTTAGAAAGAGAAAGGTATAGATGTTCATGTCCTCCGTTGAAAGTACTAAATTTCATTCTCTAGGGTTACTGTTTTCTAATGTTTATTATCAATTTATTTCATTTTTGTTTTGAGCATAAATCATTCCAACGTTGTAATTTCAATTTTTGTGTTTTCATCTGATTCTATTTCATTACTTTTATCTTTTCCCTCTAGATTCCTTTGATTGTCATTAGGTTTTCTCAGTTCAAACTTCAAAGGACTTGGTGGCTTCAAATATTCTATGCTAATATGCCCAGTGAATCTTCAAGGTTCAACGGATATAATGTCAGTTCACTGGTCATCCTAATATATGACAAATGGCAAATTATGGGTCCTCAGGCTGGTTATATTATTAGTAAAGTGGGTCCCCGCATGCATGTATAAACATGTATTATATAATGTATAATTATATTCTATATATGGTTTCTATGTCTAATGTTTTATTTTTGATAAATAAAAAGAAAAAAAATTGAAATTTGAGATAAGTGCTTTGTATTACCCAAAATCAAAAACAAAATTACTCTAATCAGACAACCCAACGCAAAATTATGGCCTCTGGAATTTTTCAATACATCGTGTGTTGTCCCATGACCCAGTGATTGAATCAAGCAAGTTAATGGGGCAATTTTTTAGCATGTCAATGGTTTTTCTTTTTTGGTCAATTTCTAAGTTTTAGAAAAACTGGACCTGAAAATGTGATCAGGTAATGGTTGAAATGGTTTGACCATCTGTGTCAACAACGGCGGATTCAAAACATTGTTCTAAACTAAACATTAGTTTGCCATCAGAATTGAAGGCGTTTTGATCCTTAAGGCTCAGTTTGGAAGGAGTACAAATGCAAATTTATAGAGTGCAAAATCTTATATTTTGTATGTATTTGTATACAAATACAATTATGTAGAGTATAGAACCTTGTATTTTGTATTGTTTTGTATGTATTTACGCTGTAAAAATTCAAGTTGGTACCCAATTTAAAGATTTTACATAGCATTTGGCTGGGCTTTTCAGTCCAAGCCCATTCAGATTTTGACAAAAACCCAATCCAAGCATGTCCAAGTTGCACTCCTATGTTCCTACCCTTAAGAAAATCAAATATTTAAGGTCAAAATTTTTTACTATAAATAAATAAACTTAAGATCAATAAATCAAAGATGAAACACAATTTTAGGAGTCATTCGGTGAACTTTGAGCTTTGTGTGAAAATATTTGAGTGAAAATTTGTTTTTTTACGTTTCTAAAATCTGAATGTTGAGTTCTAAGAAATGGAAATTTTATGATTTTATCATTATTGATGAATATATAGTTTATTACATTATTCTGAAAATATTAATATTAATTATAAATAAAAGTATTTAAAATTGATAAATTAATAACTAAAAATAAATTAGAATAAAATACATAATTTAATAAAATTAACAATTAATACTATTTAAAATGTAAATAATAAATAATAAAATTAATTAAATAAAAATACTCATTAAGATTAATAAAATGAATAATCAAATAATAAGCTTAATATAAAATAATTAAATTAATGAAAAAAATAATAGTTCATATTATTAATAAAAATATTAACAATAACTACCAAAAGAGTCCAAATAGTCAATGCTAAAAGTAAAACTCCTAAACTTAATAAAATAATCATTAAATAATATATTAATATAAACTAATTAGTTCAATAAAAATAACAATATTAATACAATATTGATAATAAAATAATAATTCAAAAAACAAGGTTGGATGTTTTCTAGAACCACAAATAGTAGTTGTGGTTTTGTGTGATTCAGAACACAACTTATTAAGAACAAAACCACAACCATAGCAAAACACTATGATAATTCAAAACAAATACTTTTATTTTCAAAAAGAGGTGGTATGATTTTGGAACACAACCACACTTTTTTCGAACCACAAAACGAACAATGTAGTTGTGCTAAAAAAACTATCTTCCATAGTGTTCAAAAAATGAGAGTTTTGCTATTTTTGGAACCATTGTTTGTTAGTTCTAGATCCAACAACATAATGAAAATGTCTTACAAAACATTGGTTGTGTTCATAAACCAAATGAAACATGAACACAACCATGAAAAAAAAGCCCTCTAAGAGGCGAATAAATAGCATTACCAAGAACTCTTAGTGCTAGGGGTGTTCATAAAAAAACCAAGGACTGAACCAAACCGGTCAATCCAGTTTGAATTCGAAATTTTAATATATATTTAATATTATCTATATATTATAAATATATATGCATTATATGTGATATATTATTTACTATTTTAATATAATATATTATATGCATTTCTAGTATTTATATTAGGGCTTTTTGCATAAAAATTAACAAAGTTATGACTATTGATAAAATCATATACATTTTGAACAAAATTGTAAAACTGATGAGGTGTACAAAAAAGCTTATTATTTTTTACCAAGTCACCCCTCATTAATCCCACCTAGGCCAAACTTTGCTTTCATTCTTTCATTGTCTCAGTCTTTCATCTCTATATCTCTCTCTTCTCACTTTGTGGGGCATCTATTTATTTCTCTATCTTTTTTTTTTCTTATATGTTGAAATGAAGTTGGAGGCTCCTATCTTTGCAGAAAACATGGCTCAAGCTCTTTACAATGGGGAGAGGATTTGTGTAGCTCACCACAAAAATCTAGAATTGTGGTTGGCTTAAGTCAGAAGTTGGTTTATTTCAAAAAAGAAAAATTGAGCTTGGCTTTTGCCAAATTTATCAATTATTTAACAGTAAAATCTCCCACAAGAATGCCCTCTACACTTCCTACAGAGTAAAAAACCCTAGAAGTTCATCACTGCCTCACAACTCTACGTGTTGTTGTAGTTATGGAGATTGCTAGAACGATGAATGTTTCGCCTCATGAGTTTGTTAAGGCATACACTACTCATCTCGAATGATCGGGAAAGATGGAGATTCCTTGCTCACTGGACTGATATTGTGAAACACCATTCAGCTTGTGTAATGCCGAATGGTTTCTAAATCTTCTCCATACCGGATGGTCTATGCACCTATGAGAAACATATACAACCATGTGGTCTATTTGGTTTTAAAAGAACTTGAATGTGTTAAATCACATGTGTAATTGATAATTGTAACTATAATTGTTGACTCAAAATTGTAAGCAACCATCCAACCTATGTAATGCTGGATGGTTTCTAAGTCTACAAAATGCCATCCAGTCTCCACTATACGAGATGGTCTATACAATTGTGAGAATCATATAAAATCTTGTAGTCTGTTGGGTTTTAGATGAATTTAAAAGTGTAAATACTATTTTGTCACAAGAGTGATGGATATTTGCAACCGCAATTGATGATTTAAAACTACAAGCAACCATCAAGTATTTATAATACCGAATGATTGTCAAGCCTGTAAAACACCATTCAGTTTGTTTGTTGTTGGATGATTCCTAAATCTATTGAACACCATCTAATCTATTATATACCAGATAGTCTGGGCACTTATAAGAATCATATACAACTTTGTGGTCTATTAGGTTTTAGATGCGTTTGAAGGTGTAAATACAAATCACTTGGTTTATCTATATTTGCTACTATCTAATAATTGAAATTTTCAAAAAGATGATCCAAGCTTCCCTATTGACTTCTCTGTCTCAGATGCAACGAACTGATACGTTCTGTTTATTTATTTATTCATTAATTTATTAGTAATAGCAAACCCATTAGTATGATAAAAAGCTTTTATCATTTAATTCAATATTACAAGAAGTATCTATACGATTTTTCTTTGAGAAAAATCTAAGCCTACAGATGTATAGTCTTGGTTGAAATTGAATCAATTTTGGATAAAAGAATGGATTCTTTATTTTTTCTCTTGATTTTGAGTAATAGTAGTGAAGGCATTTAGCAAACCCCATTCAACCCACATTCTCCAAATTGTTCCCTACCCTGATGTCCCTCTCATAATTTATCTCCATGGCAAAGGTTTCATCCTCTTTAGCATTGCAACTGTCACTCCATCAC